AGTTAGGAATTAGATTGTTTATAGGGACGCTGCTAACTTCGTTCGCGCGGTAACAACAACTAAAAATTCACCCCAAAAAATCACCTTAATTAATAGAATTGCATACAGATAGTAGATTAAACGTTCTTTGTTAAAATGTTTGCACTTTTCAAAATTCGTTTATGGAAATACAGCTAACATACGTCATGAGACGTCACAGTCTAGACGTTCCAAATGTCTTGTGCTGTTTGAAGAGGCGGATCTTAAAATTAAGTGAACAATGCACTCGCCCCAACGGTCGCACCGTTAACATATTATCGTTGATTGATTGTGTCGATTTAAATGTGTAAAAATGTAATGGTGGTGTTTGAATGTTACTGGTGTGATCACACAAACTTGTCACGTAGGAATTTTTTTTTTAATGAAACGAGGCTATTGGTGTACCTGTAACTTACATATCTTTCATATCGTTCTCATCAAATGCATGTTTGCTTTATTCATTGGATCTCCTTTGTAATTCCTACATTTTGGTTAATTCGGTATTATAAACAATTTATTGCATATAGTGAGGGAGACATAAAGATTTCTTCGCAAATGAAAAATCATATTTTCCTCGGGCGTTGCCTTCGGGGAGTATGATTTTTCATGGGCGAAGAAATCTTCATGTTGCCCTCTGGGAATATGATTTTTTATGGGCGAAGAAATCTTCATGTCTCCCTCACTATCATGCAATAAATGCAAACTGTGAACTTGTCAAGTGCGAAACACACAAAAGGGTATCGCTGATATCATACAGAGTGTTATCATTGCCTTGATCAGGCCCATAGGAAGCAAATTCAGTTTTGTTTTTTTTTTTTTTTGGGGGGGGGGCACAGCCATACACTTTCAGTTGACAGTTACGGGAGCACTACTACCATAAATTTCCTGACAAGCAAAAAAAAAAAGGTCACCAACTACCAAAAATTCCTTGACAAGCAAAAAAATCAGACGTTTTTATTGAGGTGGCACAAGTATAGTACCTATGTCTACTATAGTAATCTATATATCAGCAAAATTATTGGGGGGGGGGGGCACGCCCCCCCCGTGCCCCCCCCCTCGGTTTACGGCCATGTTGATTAAATTTAGGGTCACTAAGGAAAGAATGTTGACTGGATGAATGGTCTGAAAGAACATGTGTTAACTTGTCGAGTCGGTAACACATAGATAGGGTTTGCTTATAACCAGAGTGTGTCATGGTTTGATGCAAGGTCATTTGAACGAGTTCAAGGTCATCAACGGAGAAACAACATTCCTTAACTGTCTTTCTACTGGTGAGACATTGCAAGTTGATACCCCTTACAAGATTGCTTATAACCTTAGAATGTGGCATGACCTTGACTCAAAGTCACTTCTTCCCGTTCGCAGCTCCAACGGAAGACCTACTCGTTGCTTTGCAACGAGCTCTGCTCTAGTTTATATTAATATTTTTAAAATATGTGTATAAACAACCTTTTTTTTTTTTTACAAAAGTCATTTGTTAAGAATTACGTTATACAACAAAAACTTTTTTTTCAATTTAGTGAGTAATCCAGGAAATTTATAAGAAATAGCAGGGAGAAAAATAAAAGTATGTACAAGCTTATCTTTTGAAAAGATGGGCGAGATAACGCTGTAGCCATCATAAAACACAGAAGTAGATATCTGAACCCTTTAAGATGCTGAATCGATTAATTATTAACAGGAAGGCACAGAAGTGCAATGAGGTGGTGTCTCAATTCAGAATGAATGGTGAATCTAAAAAGGGCTTCACTTCGGAAACTTTTCAACTGTGCTTTTACTGTTTAAGCATTCTGTAGTTTACTTTAATTTCAAGAACCTATGATTACCTACATGTAGTTTAAAATATTCAATTGTGGTACTGCTTTGTACAAATCGCATTTTCTCGGATCTTTCCTAAAGCTCGACAGACACATTCGAAGACATTTAATAGTTAAGAAAAGCTGGGTATTTATTATATTTTTGGAATTAACTAACATCTTTAGTCTTGGCATTATAAGACCTTAGTAACTGCATCTATGTACAAGTTAGACAACAAAGCACAAAACTTCAGATAATATTTATTTTTAGATAATAAAACGAAATTGACATGGTGCAGTTTAGCTACGGTTGAATTATCAGAATGCCCTACCTTGAAGTTGAGCATGCGTATTCCATTAAAAAAGACTACATAATCGTAGTTGCTAGGGCTCGAGAGCGCTAGCAATTTAGATTGATTATATGTTGATTTATGCCTCATTTGAAAATTTGTCATTCATAGTCATTCATATAGAGACGACCCATATACCGGTGAATCGCTTCAAATTTAGACCTATACTCGACACTCAGTGCCATAGAGAAGTAAAGGTTCTTTATTGTGCCAACGCCCACCTCGGTTTTTATGGTCACTTCCTAAAGACTTTCACTTCTAATGCCGGCTGTTTGCAAAGGAACAATCGCTACCTATTTGTAATTTTAAGTGCGGCAGTCTTGTTTTGTTTGCAGTTGAATATAGTCGTAATTATTTTTACAGGAGCTTGACTCCATACAATTTCTTTGAAAACTTATTTATAGCGTATATTTCACCTATTTTGGCATCCAAATTTGATTCCTGAAATTAATTCCAATAATCTGCAAAGTCTACAGGTAATTTCCACTGCACTTCCCTTTCTATCTTTTTTTTTTTTTTTTTTTTTTTTTTTTTTTTTTTTTTTTGGTTTTGTTTTGTTTTTGTTGATTCTTATTATCAATAAATTATATTTAAATTCAATAAAGGTTTTTGTATTCATTTATATCATGATTCGGAATCTCGTTACACTCGGGACTGAAAAGTATCTATCATCCTGCTACATAAGTATGCCGCGACACGGCGAACGAGAATCGAACATTAGATTCCTGATCACGAAACGAACGCCCTACTATTAGGCTACATGTACCATGACCGGTCAAGTATAGAATGAGTTAAACAAGGGCGATTATCAAGTCATAAGAACGTATTAACTTGCCCATTTTTTTATGGATGAAAACCCGAGTGTCATTTTTCATAAATTTTGTGACACTAACAAAATATTGATCCTACAGCTTAGCTAAAAAGACCAACAACAAACAGTCATTTCCTCTTTAAGGTTAGGGCTCACCCTAACCCTAACCCTCTAACCCTAACTTCTGTAGGCAGTGATCTTTTTTTCTGATGAAATTTAATCAAATACCATGAGATTAACCTCCAGAATCGAACATGAATGTGAGAGGAGATGTATTTTCAACTGGTTTGTTATCCAATAATAGTTATAAGAAGGCCTATACTGATATTAATATAAATTATTTAGACATTTATCGCAATCAAAATAATTATGATCCTTAAAAATGGCCGTAAGAAACTGTTATGTTAAACTACTAAAAACAGTTATAGAGAGCTTCTTAAGTACCGTTAAAGCAGTAACAGTCAGCTTCTTCAGGACTGTTAGTGCAGTCAGACAGCTGTGAAAGAAGTGTTCGTGCAGTCAGACATCTGTGAAAGAAGTGTTCGTGCAGTCAGTCATCTGTGAAAGGAGTGTTCGTGCAGTCAGATAGCTGTAAAAAAAAAGTGTTCGTGCAGTCAGACAGCTGTGAAAGGAGTATTCGTGCAGTCAGTCAGCTGTGAAAGAAGTGTTCGTGCAGTCAGACAGCTGTGAAAGGAGTGTTCGTGCAGTCAGACAGCTGTGAAAGAAGTGTTCGTGCAGTCAGTCAGCTGTGATAGGAGTGTTCGTGCAGTCAGACAGCTGTGAAGGAGTGTTCGTGCAGTCAGACAGCTGTGAAAGGAGTGTTCGTGCAGTCAGACAGCTGTGAAAGAAGTGTTCGTGCTGTCAGTAAGAGGCGTAAGGATTGTTAGGCAGTCAGAGCCATATTCAAAAGTCAGTTTTCTAAAACAATTAAGGCAGTAGTAATTTTAAGTCAAGGTGAATGTGCTGATTAGATCAGTGATAGTTCATAGAATGCATATCAAGGAATGTTACAGATTGGAAATTGTATAGATCTAAACAAAGCATCTCACGGTGCCCTTATTTACTTTCTACTTTGTTACTATGTCAAAGACTTAAAAATAAAAAAAGGATACAACCTTTCATTCTAGAGTCTTAAAGTTGGAAGATGACTTTAATATCGAAGGTTAGAATCTCGAAACTCTCTGCGGGACATAAATAGAAGTTTTTTGAACGAGATTGATTGAATGATTGTTTGTTGTTTTACTTCCTTTCGAGCATATTTTACTCATATAGAGACGTCACCATATACCAGTTACGGGCTTCAAATTTAGACATATACTCGGCACTCAGGGCCATTGAACAGTCATGGATCTTTCACTTTCACTTCAATGTGCCGAGCGCCTAGTGTAGGAACAGTTGCTACCTATTTTTATCGACTTAGGTCAATCGCAACCTGTCTCGAACCCTCGACCTTCCAATCACGGAGCAAGCACTCTACCGGCTGAGCTGCCCTGACAGTCTTTTGAATGAGACAGATCTATACAATTAGATTCCATGTCACAGTAGATGCTGGCACGTTTGCGATCATTTACTGCACAATGGACAAATGCACCGAGTCAAGTTCTATTTTAACAGCCTTGTAAGGGCAACTGTTGGCGTCCGAATATTCGTAAAATTATTTAAGTTAAAACGAAACAAACAACCGACCACAGACTTGATTAATTGAATTGATTTTACAGTGCAATAAATTAATTGAATTGATTTTACAGGTGCAATAACCGAAATCAAATCAGTTTCCTATAGGGTGTTTAACAATGTTATTATTGTTAAAGAGCATTATATGTAACCAGCTTTATTAATTTCTTCTTTATGGAAAAGGATATAATAGGATATGAATGTATTTTATGCTTCATAGTTACAGCACGTAAGGGAAGGCGTCATACTGTACTGATTTACTGATTGGAAAAATAAGTGATGGTTGAAATGAAATCTGAGACGGTGATGTTCCTCCTTATTCTGATATCGCTGACTAGAGCTTGTTATCGTGTGACCTTTAATTACCCACCCGGAAAAGTGATCGTGAATGCCTCATACTCTGTCTTCTCTACAAACACTTTGCTCTGGTGTGTTAGGAGATGCAAGTTTCAAAGAAAATGTTTATCTGTGAACTTTGATTCCACAGAGAGAAAATGTTTTCTAAACTATAAAGATCACCTGACTCCCGGAGCACAGCTGGGGACCTCCAGTCACGTTCGATCTTACGACGTTGGTGTTTGGAATGATGTATGTAATGTTTTTGAAAATCTGTTAAACGTTTTAATGTAGTAGAAACTTTTTTATAAGATAACCAGCATTTAACTGGATATATTTATTTGAAATTTTTAACATAACTTAGGGCTTTTTATTTCTCTTCAAGTTCTGTATATCTATACACGAGGGATGTCAAAAAATCATTGACATGGACTTTTTTTCCTTTTGATTACTCTTAGATACACATATGGCAGACAAAAATATTTGTTATATGTCGGAATATTCTGCTTTTGATTGTTAAAACTAAATACATTGTAAAAATATCTACTTTAAATGATTGAGGATGGTGTACATAGTCAGAGCGTTAAATTTATATGAATCTTGATTTAAAGTGTTTTTGATTTAGATTTAAAGAATTCTAAAAAAAAAAAAAAAAAAAAAAAAAAAAAAAAAAAAAAAAAAAAAAAGAAATCTAAAACAGAAATCAAATATATATGGCTACAGTAATTTTCTATGAGGTAAGTATTGGTAAAATGACAGAAAGAGAAAGAGTCAAGAAGTATAGGAAGAAACATGTCTTTGAAAACTTTCAAAAAACGACAAAGGCTATGGTAGATCACTAAATTTTCGCGATAGTCATTAACTCTTTATTAGCGAGACAAAATTTTCAAGAATTGTGGTTATTGCTCCATATAATCTTAACGAATACTAATATACGCGAGAATGAAATTTTCGGGAGCACACTGTCTCGCGTAATTACGCGAAATAAAGTTATCCCTAATAAAAAGTTATTTACAGTATACGTTGATCATAAAATCATTTTTTGTATTTGATAGAAGTACTAAAAAAGATGAAAATATCAAATAAAGAGAGAATATTTTGGAACATGTGCATTTCATTATTTTACAGTTGATAAGTCCGTGAACAATTTGAAGCACCCTTCTTACAACCCATTCATAAAAATGCTTCTTCTTTTTTTATCTCAGAACAAAAATCCACATCGTTGCTTCAAAAAACGAACCTTAAAGTACCTTATCTTTGTAAGTCTTTGTGAATTTTAGGGGAATTTTCTTATATGTTTAGCATATTGTTTAAAACAGTTCCATCTTTCCAAAGCAAAATTTTTGTACAATTATTCTCCCGTATTTGAAGAAAAAAAATATACAGTTTCATACATTTTATGAAATCTTGATATTGTTCTCACATATTGTCATATGATAATTCCTTTTTTGTGAATGAAACATGGAGGTAACGAACAATTTTCAAGCTCATAAGTCCAAAACGGTACAAATCAGGAGAAGAGCAAACACGGACCTCTAAAACATCTAGGATCAGGTGCCATGGAGGAGTAAGCATCCCTTGCCGACCGGTCACACCCGCCGTGTGCTCCTTCTCATGGTCAAAATAAACGGAAAAATCCGTCGACAATTCAGTGTGTAAATAATGGCCCAACAATTAGTATGAAAAAATGTAAGTCAGCAATTAACTTAACGATAGATTATGTTTGCTGACAAGGTCATTGTTTCGACTTTAGGACTCGCGAAATGATGACTTCAAACGAGACTGTTGATATCCTCGTTTCATCAGCTTGCCTCATTTGACAATTTGTTCGTACGTAGAACATGCTCTTAAGTATCGAATCAACTGAGAACGTAAATATTATATGTAGGTGATAAGGGTATATTGCTAAGTAAGTAAATAAAGAATCAAACATTTCACTTCACTGGTACAGTGTATTGAGCATTTCGTCAGTTACAAACGTGTGCTATATCTTCTACATATATCTTTTATCAGGATGACATGTACATGGGGAGCTGTAGTAACCACAGTTGTAGGTTCGATTTGATCTGTGAACAAGGAAGTGATCCCACTGTTCCTTACACGTGTATACAAGACACACAATGTCAGTGGAGCGATGGCTGTTCAGGTTGCATCCAAGGTATTTTCCGGCAATATTTTATGGACTATGGAAGCTGGACGTACGATATACATTATATAAACTTGTCATTCCTTTTTAAGAGAATTGATGTCAACAGGTACTTAAGAATTGCGTGAACTCATCCTTCTTTGATAGGGTTAAGGATTTTGAAATCAAGTCTATAGAAAAATTGGTAGAAATCTAGATATAAATATGCTAATTTTTTACGGGGTTACACTGCTGATTGTTTTGTAGACAATGGACAGAAGATCCAACCTAACACTCAGGACTTTACACCTATCGGCTGCTACCACGCTGCTGGAGCTAACACTGGTTTTCAGAGTTCTGTTAATATGAGGCCTCAGATCAACTGGTATGACATTGGCGCTTCAATTCGGGCCTGTGCTCTAGAAGCCAGAAACAGAATGTTACAGTACTTTGGTATTGAGTTTTACGGGGAGTGCTTCATGAGAAATGATACACTGGATGTGTCATACGCACTGGTTTCTAAGAACAAGTGCTCCGAGAAATGTGCATTTGGTGTTGGAGCGGCTGATGTTATTTTCTTTTACCAGCTTATTTGAAAATGAGAAATCAGAAATTGTTTCGACTGATTTTATTCAGTGTCAGATATTTGTTTAATTGTACTTATCGAACTTTTGTAGCAAATTAAGTTAGACAGCATTACTGGTTAATGTGATATGTGAGGCAACATTTCATTACTAAGAAATGTATATTGAAAATCTCTTCATAGTGCATCGAATTACTACCTGAACTGAATAAACATAGTAAACCATTTGCCCTTTTTAGAAGAAACATTATAAATATCTTTTTAAATTATCATTCATATGGATTAAACACTTTTGATTTCCTTATATTGATCTATGTTGGAAAACAAATAAAGATGGAGAGTGTATGAAAAGAGTGAAAAAGTTTATCACACGAGCATCACTGAAGAGACATAATTTGTCGAAATGCGCACCTGTTGCATCAAAATGGTACCGTATGAGATTTACATTATGACCGCTGGGTGGAGGTCTCTGCTGGTGGACTGTTAGTCTCCGAGGGTCACTACAGCCCAGTAGCTAAGTACCTCGGTACTAGCTTGAAAATACGGATATATGTTCTATTGCTGTGGTAAAATTTAGAAATTTATCAAAATTAAGGATTATCTCCTTCATGCACAGCTCTGATCCTTCGACGTATTTGTCTCCAGTCTTGTCTTTGGCACCCCTCTTTCAGCCCTTCTTTTTTGTTTAAATTAATTATTTCGGGTTTCCAACGTTTCAGCATGATCATCACTAAAGAGACATAATTTGTTGAAATGCGCAATTGGTACCGTATAAGATTTACATATTTTACTTGAAAGATGGGAGGAAATACACCACATAAGAAGAAATTTATTCAAAGTTAGAACGATTATCACAGGTGCGTTATTATTTCTAACATATTAGTTTAATGCGCAATTTTTTTCCTTAAGGCAGCGTGCAGTATTTTTATCTAAAGGCCGTCGACATTTACAATACAGATAAGCACCATGTTCCTTCCTAAGACATTAATTCTTCTGATAGTTTGTGAGACCATATCTTCCATTCTTTTGGAGAACATTGACCATGGTGACCAGGTCATCACTAGAAATGAACTTGACAAGGAAATCCAAGGTTTGAAAGCAATCATTGCACAGCTGAACGCTACCATTGTCAAAGGTAAATTCTCGTGCCTCAAACGCTAACCCTAACCTTAATCCTATCATTGTTAAAGGTAAATTTTCGTGCCTCAAACCCTAACCCTAACCCTACCATTGCCAAAGATAAATTCTGGTGACTCAAACCCTAACCCTACCATTGCCAAGGGTAAATTTTGGTGCCTCAATCCTAATCGTGGAAATATGATAAACTTGGTTTTGATTCTTTAATTATCTTTAAAATAGAACACAATTCACTTTGCTTTGAGTTCATTGGAACTTATAGGGATGCTGATTCATTTCACGGTATTTTGTCAACAGAATTTCTTATACTTTTTCGAGACCGTTTTACATTTTGCTTTGTATAATATCTCCTACAATGGGAGAGGACATAATGGAATTAGTTAAGTTGTCTGTGTAGCTGTCTGTCAAAAAACTGTGTCCTGAACATAACTCTGGAAGTCTTATTTGGAATGCATTCAAACTATGTCTTATTGTCTACAAACAAAATGTGTGTCCTAACTTTTACTGAAGGTTATTGCTCAAAGATTAAGGTCGCTATAATTAAGGTTACTATAATACTAAATATTGAGATAATTTTCATGGCTAATTCTCAAATCCTTGATTGAAATGAATTGAATTACAATTTTAATATACGTTGTCATTGGCCTAAAGGTTTGTCATGACCTTGACTTTTTTGTTTTTTCTTAAAAGTGAATGCCACTGAGTATTGAGATGCTGAAATCATGGTGTGTGAACTGTATATTATAACATTTGATCTAATATTTTAACCACTGCATTATATATTTTAAATGATTCAAGGACATGTAGAAATTCTCTCGAGATTTCGGGAAAGAATATTTATCCCAAATAAAACGTTTTCACTTATTTTTCAAAGTATTGCATCAACATTGGAACCATCACTTGAACTTCATGGAGACAGAAACAAGAGGAAAAGATTTTTTTTTTTTTTTTTTTTTTTTTTTTTTTTTTTTTTTTTTACTTGTTTTACTTTTCTCTGAGTAAAATAATCCAAAATGCAAATTTATCATTTTGATTGTCTGTTAAGGGCTCCGTTTTCTAATAACACATTTATTGTTATAGAAAAGAAAAATGTTTGAATCAGGGTTAACAGTGATAATTAAATTTACTAGAGATAGCCCAATACCAAATTCAAAGAAATAGAAGTACTTACAAACACTGGTATTTCAAAGAGTCCGTGGAAGTGGACCTGGGATATGGGAGAGGTTCATTCAGTTATTACCGGCTGTGGTGTATTATTTTATAATGCAAATATACCTGTATTAGAATATGTTTGAAAGGAAGATAGGAAAACAGATGTAATTGTAACTTTTTCAGTCCATAACTAGCATTTACACATTTACACCATTTCAAAATAAAGGTGAAACATGTACATATATATAATGACTTTTTTTCAAATCAACATAGGATGCATTAGTAGCCCTAATTTTGTATGATCAGAAATTTTTATTTGGGCTTGCCAAATGTAACCTTAAAGGAGGACATCGGAGTATAAATAGCAGCCAATGAAATAAATGGTGGGTTATTTGATTTTTCTGGCCACATTCAGATTGCAGAGAGTTATTTACAAATATTAAAATACTGATTCCCCTTTATCATCAGATGTTTGTCATGCTTGTTCTTCTCATTAATGTGCATCCTTGGTCACAAATTAAATTTACTGTAAAATTTTTTCTTAGCTGTATTTTTCATTGAAATATTTGAAGCAGGGCTTCTGTTTCTATTTGAAATTCAAAACTGACAGCAGTGGGCGTGATTTAGTTTGTTATTGTTTACACCGGATGTTGTCTACATCACATGCTGGCATGGCGGGCAGAACAGAATGCTGCAGTGTTTGACTTACTTTCATCTCTAGATAAATCCAACTTCCAAAAAGATAAAAAAGATAAAATCCATGATTCAGATTTTTGACATCTGTATTGAAATTGGAATAGTTATAAAATCCTCACAATATATGTACAAAATAAATATCAAGTCAAAACACCTAGCCTATACAAACAGAAACAAACAAACAAAGAGAAGAAAATATCAATTTGATCATGTTGATTGACTGTCAACTATGAAATAAAAATTATTCCCACAAGTGACCCATGTATTGTACATCTTTTGGATTTGGTAGCCATGTTCTCACAGTATTCACTACACATGTCGGCATAATGTCACGTCTGTGCCATTCCTGTCCTGGCTGATAATGTTCCAAAGCTCGCATTTTTTTCTCAGCATATCGGGGATCACTCCAGACTCCACGATGTAAGAGCATTGTCCAAAACCTTTTATATTTCTCCTTTCATAATTTTGAATTCCTGGGATGGGGCGGTCTGAATGGTTCCACTTCCCACCATAATTGCCTGTTGTTGTCTGTGATGCAGGGTTTGCAGAGGCAGAATGGACATTCCTCTCTGTTATTGTCTTGAAGGATGACAAATTTTTCTTCATCATTATTGCCACTGCATTCAGCTTCTATAACTCCAGTATCTAATTCTATATTTGTCTGCACACCTTTGTCTACACATTCTGATCTTACACAAGTGTTCCCGCCAAATTTCTCTTCCTGTGATGTGTCAATGGGGCGAAAATCCCAGTCACTATGCAAAAAGAAATGTTTTATGGCCTCCATTTGCATTTCACTCACATCCAAAATTAATCTCTGTCTTTCCCCCATTTTGCTTACAAAATACAATAACAAATTAATGGAAAATGGCCTCTAAATGATTACAGTGTAGGTACTAATATATGCAGTGTAGGTACTAATTGATGCAGCTGTGTGAAGTCCAACCTCCCCACATGATTAAATGGGTGATAAGAGAATGGTTTATTAGTTACTGCAATTTTGTGAATAGGGCCAAACAAAGGAGAATTTTATTTATATTAATATATATTTTCAATTCTGTTGATTTCTGGAAATAACAACTTAGAAATAAAAAAAAATTGATAAATTAAAAAAAGGGAATTTTCAAAACTAATAATGTTATAGTGAGGTTACACATCTATTTCTCTTTTGTTATCAATTACTCTCCCCCTTGGCCTCACATAGAATATAAGGATGGTTTTGGGTTACTGATAACCAATATATATGAATACAATTTCTCTCAGAAACATCAAAATCTTGTATTTGAAATCATGGCAAAAAATGAGAAGTCCTCAAAGAAACGTCCACCAAATTTTAGGCTTGAAATTCCTGGTGATGGGGAATTTAAAACTAAAATTCAAGGAAAACTGCAAGAGGTGAAAACATTTCTCACTTCTAAGCGCAATTCACCTGTAAACAATGCTGTAATAATCGAGGAACTTTTGGACTTTTGGTTAAAAAAACACTCAGAGGACCAAAGTGTGGAGCTGGATCAAACACAATTTCCATCAACATATCTTCAAGTCAGGAAGAGGGATGTAAATCAGAAAATGTTTGTTTGTGCAGAGTCATCACTTATAAATATATGTGAACTTTGTGAAGCTCATATCAAGAACTGTAATGGAAAATTGAAATTCTTTAAGAAAACGATGAAAGGACATGTTATCTCTTTGCGCCTCCAATGCTCCAAGGATAAAATACACAGTTATTCCTGGTCATCATCACCATATCTGCCCAATGATGAATATCTGGTCAACCACAGAATATGTCATGGTCTCATGTGTAGTGGAATGCTACCATCTCATTACACAAGATTTTCCAATGGAAGTGGATTAGGATGCATCAACTGGGCCAGGAGAAAACATTTTTTTGAAGAATATAAAAATTCTGTTGAGGCCGAATATCAAGATTCCGTCCAAGATGCTCTACACGAAGAAATCGGGAGTTATGAAGACTTGGATGGCATCAATATTTTAACAGATGCTAGACATGGATGGCGAAAAAATGCAAAAGATACATCTGTAGTGGCCATAGGTGAGAAATGTCATAAAGTTTTGGATTGTGTCCATGTCACAAAACAACAAGATCCCGTTTCTCAACGACATGAAAGAATTGGCACAGAAGCTATTTATGAAAATTTCACCTCGCAAGATGTCACCATCAAGATTCATTCTCATGACAGAAATCTTAGTATCAACAAATTTATTAAAGATTCAGAAGAAACAACAAATCATAATGATTTATGGTACTCAGTGAAAGCAC